GCGACTTTGATTGAGGGCAGATTGTAATGGCCCGAAGGCTCGGAACAAGTATTTCCGAAACTGCATGACTCGTGGGTTGTTCGTGATCTACAGTTGTTTATTACATATGAAAAGTGGATGAATGACGGGGAAACCAGCAGTAGACGACATGGTGTTGGACGTCCACACGCTATCAAAGAAAAAGGTCGTCAGAGACTGTCTCGCATGGTGAAGCAAAAACCGCAGCCAGACAGTGGCTCAGCTGATAGCCGAATACAATGCAGGGCCAAGTAGAAAAGTATCGGAGCACACTGTTCAGCGAACACTGTTGGATATGGGGCTACACAGCAAACGTCCCACTCTGTGCCTTTGTTGACCAAGCGTCATCGCCAACTGCGCCTGCGCTGGCCCATGGATCAGTGGGAGAGAGTTGCCTGGTCAGATGAATCACGGTTTGTCATTCATCACGCCGATGGCCGTGTCAGGATACGCCATCTTTGAGGCGAACAGTTGCTCTCTCAATGCACAGTAGGTCATACACAGGCCGGTGGTGGCGGTATTATGCTCTGGCGGACGTTCTCTTAGGCGTCTCTGGGACCCGTGGTTGTGGTAGAGCAAACCATGAATGCTACAGGGTATCTGAACCTCATTGCGGACCAGTTGCACCCTTACATGGCCTCTGTTTTTCCAGCTGGAAATGGAATGTTCCATCAGGACAACGCCCCGTGTCACAAGGCTACAATTGTGTTGGAGTGGTTTCAAGAACATGATGCTGATTTCCAGTTAATGTCCTAGCCGCCTAACTCACCGGATCTCAATCCGATAGAACACATTTGGGATCATGGGACGGCAGCTCAGAGGTCAAAGACCACCAATTCGCAATATCTCGGATTTGCGTGACCGTTGCTACAACATCTGGTACAATCTGTCTCCGGTCATATATCAAGGACTTGTGGCATCCATGCCAAGGCAAATTGAAGCTGTGTTGCGCGCCAAAAGGTGGCCCAACTCGTTATTGACAGGTGATCATAATGTTTTGGCTCTTGAGTGTATACTATAAGCCCGGACAACCTGCCTTCAGCCTGAATAAGATAATGCTGTTTAGATAAGAATGCTGAATAAGATAATGCAGGCCGCCAAAGGACCAATATATTACGAGCTTTTGAAATCTAAAGTAAAGTACAATTCGGAGAGATATTATCAGCAAATGGATGATATAAGCAAAGTAGTCAAACAAAAGAGACCGGAGATGTTCATTAGGAAGCGCATAATATTGTATCAGGATAATGCCACACCACATGCTACACTGGTGACAAGAAAATAGCAAAGCTAGGCTGGGAAATTCTGCAGCATCCACACTATTACCCATACCTTAATACACTCCGATTATTACGTGTTTCTTTCCTTGCAAAATGTTTTGAAGGGAAATGAAGCAGTTGTCAGCCAATCACTACTTGAGTTCTTCGCCTCTGAAAACAAGACATTTTTCAAAAACTGGATCTACATATAGCCATTACGCTAGCAAGAGGTCGTAAGTAATGATAGATATTATATTGTGCAATAAATATTATGAAAAATGTATTATCTTCTTTTCCACACAGATAGAATTTTTTGGTTGACCTTATATATTTCTGAAAATTCTGTAAAATTACTTGGCTGTTTTCAAAATGTTGGTTAATAAACGTATGTAATTGGTTTTATATCAAAACTGTGTTCATTTATTAGAAATGTTTTTCACACTGCCAAATAATCCTGATTTTTTAAATGCCTTAGAAGAGGTATATTGTATGTTTGTTGATTATTGTTCAGTTGAATGTATCCACCAAGTAAAAGAATATAAATATGGGCTGTACTTTTTACCCCTCATAAAATTTTTTTTTAACAAAATGCTTCTCTTACTTATTGTTTATGAATAGAGCTGTACCTCCGAGGCGTAAATGTAGCCAAACAAACAAGTTTCACCAATTCACAAAATCTCCAATTAGTTGGCGATGTTTCGTGAATTTGAAGATAATAAGAAAGTATCATATATTTTTACTTAACATATAGAATTCTGTCTTAGTAAAATAAAACTCGAGGACATAATTATGTTTCTGAAACGGACAAACCAGTAAGAATCTAGAAACAGCTCTTGACAAGTATTGTCGCTGCGAGAAATGTAAGACCGTTAATTAATCTTGCCTATGTCTTCGCAGATAACAGATTCTCAGAATGTTGTTATTTGACAAAGCATAGGATCTTTAATTCTTTTTATCTTTCAGTTGATTAACAAACTGAGCGATTTAAAAGCAATAAATATGTTTGTTAATTTAAATCTTTGTTTTATATTTTTAATAATGCAGAGGGGTTATAAATGTAGTCACTGTTTTTAATTAAATAATTTAAGCAAAAAGACTTAACACTTATAATTTAAATGCGTGGTGTGGCGTAAGGTGTTAAATTTGTCGTAGGCAGAGCTGGCAATTTATGCTGAGCATGCGCGGATGGCAGTCAGTCATAGTAGCCAGTGCAGCTAAAGACAGTCGAGTTAATAACAATGGCTGAGGTTCGTTTAGCGTTGTTGAACGCTAGGCTGTACTGAAGTAGTACTGGAAGTACGAGAACATTCATGAGGCATAACGGCAGCGGCAGAGAGAATTTAGAACACAGCTACCAACACGTCGAACAGTTGCCTGCTTTCGAGATAAATTGGATTGGTTTTGGTTTTATTAGATTACGGCAAAGCACTCGAGGCTATCTGCCTTAAGGGAGGGATGCCTTCGTGGAGGACTTTCTACGAGATAAATTGGAAGTCGACGAAACTGTTAAAAGATGGGCACAAGGAAAGACCCGGCCTATCATGGATTGCTGCAAGTCTGGAGTACAGTGCTGTGGTGTCGTAACATTTTACCCGCTCACTACAAAAATCACTGTACCAGGAATCTCGCGAAAGTGAGGTGAACTGATCAAGTGTAGGACGCATTTTTAAGGAGTGGAAAGCGTACATTCCAAGACTGCTACAGGCTATGAATGAGGAAGACCCAAATCGAAGGATGGAGTACTCTGAATGATTTCAGAACATGGTTGGCGAGGATAAGGAATTTGCAAGGAAGTGTGTGTGAACTGACGAGGTGCAGTTCAATCTTAGCGGTACAGTGAGCCGCTAATATATTAACTTAATGGAAAAGTTATCTTACTAGTTGGTAGTGTTTCGCAATTCTATTCGAAAATGTTAAAAGAAATGAAATGAAATGAATTTAAATATTTTATTTGAATGTTTGGTAGTAGAAACGGGCAAACTGCAACTATCGATTGACATAATTTTTAGCAAAACACTTCACGCTTCTTGAGAGAATTACACACGCAGTTCAATGCGAATTTCCTGAGATTAATGCCAATCAAATAGTGAATTTTTATATCTTTTCAAACTAAAATATGTGCGCTACTTTTACACACTACTACATTTTATCCTCCTAAATTTACAAAAAGTCTATAAAGTGAGCGAAAAATGATATAGTTTTTAGGTTTAACGTTTTTTACAATTATTAATAACTTTCTCACGGGTAGAATATCTTCTGGAATATTATTATTTCAAGCATCACAACTGATTCTGTTTTGAATGACATAAAAAGTCTGATGTGTACACTACATGACTTCCTTGTACGGAATATTAAATTATACGCATTTTCCCTTGCATTTCATTTAAACTTATTGGATTGAATTAAATCTACTTTGTCGATAGCGCATAAACCACAACAGAATAAATGCACTCTTTAAAATTCACTATATTTGTTTACCATAGCGACACTCTGGCGGTAGGTTCTCTTAACAGCGTTATATTTCGTTCATATTATAACTCAGAATGCACAAAATTTATATCATTTGAAGAATTATCTAATCGTTGTCATATGTTCTATTCAAATACTCTAATATATCTAGAACGATGTATAAAAGAAATTAAGCAAACAAAATGAAAAAGAAATAGTTTTTCACAGACAATTTCGTATTTCTCATTCAATTAATTCATTTCTCACTTCGCGACAAGGCAAAAAAATACATAAAAACTCAAATATCTGTATTAAAATTACGAAGTAAATCTTAAACACTTATTTTCCTCGAAAAAATTCCAGAAATGATTAAGCATGATTTAATTCGCAATAATAAATGAAGACGTTATCTTTGTTGTTGCTCTCTAGATTGGCAACAAATCTACTATTCTGCTGTTTCAAATGTAAACAAATATGTCCGCCATGTTATTTAAAACTTAAGGCTTAACCGCACTTAAACATCTTTTAAATTGTTGATAATTGTACAAATATTGCTTGCAGATTTACTAAAGGCATAAGAATTTTAACCGGAAGATAATAAGAACATAATTCAATCATTTTTAAAGCAAAAAATGCACAATTTACAAACATATAAGAGTAAAGAAACTGAGATTACTGAGCCGAGTAACAGAGCGTTTGGTGCGGCCGATTGCAAGCAAAATACGAGGTGCACATCTACATGTTATAGCAGTCCTATATACAAAATTTCAACATTCTGAGGCTATTCGTTTTTGAGTTATGCAAGATACGTACGTACGTTCGTACAGACGCCACGAAAAATTCTTTTCAGAATTCGTTTTAAAGCAGTTTTATAATTTTTTTGGAGGAAAAGAGTCTTTTATTTTGTCTTTACGTACAGATGTCACGCAAAAACATCGGTAAATTGCATTCGATAGCGGTCAAAGTGGATATTTTCGTTCAAATATGCTGCCTGAAGCTTTTCGCGATTACAATACTTCTTTTTTACTTCGTACAAAGAAGTAAAAATAGGAATGTCTTCAAAAGTGCAAGTTAACTAAAACAGAATACGAGTTAATGAATATTAACCATAACAACATTAGAAATATTTTAAAATTTTAACAGAAACTTTGACATAAACTGAAATTTCAGTTAGCCGTAGTAAGAGATATTAGAGGTTTACTGTAGACAAATTGTTTTTCACTGTTAAATTTCAAGGGTCATTATAGATAAGGAAGTACTGAGAAATGCAATAAGTACAAATTTATTTCTCAAACATAAATATATATGTATATTATACTGAATAATTACATATTTAGTTATTTTACAAAAAGTTTGTTTCAAGATCTTCTCATTTTTCATACTTCCTGTCATCTAACTTCGGTTGTTGGCCTTCATGGAAACCTTTTGAAGAGAAGAGACATTTAATGTTTTATTATTTTTTTTTCTAATACCATGTTGCTCAAAGATTATTTATATGATCATTCTAAAGATAACAACAATGTATATAATTTAACCTGATATTCCGTTCGCAGAAATCGCTTTACTCTTAAAAATTTACGGCACTGAACTTTAAACTCAAGTTAAGGAGTGCCTCATTTTCAGGAAAACCATTATAAAAGCTCCTAGTTGTTTTACTGAAGGAACTCGGTATAAATTTTGTTTAGGATTATTTTTAATTTCAGGACAAAAAGTGTGCTGATATAGATGGATATTGAATTTATGAAAAAGACAGTATGCAGGGACTTCATGGCTAAATGTTATTACTCATCGTATTAAAAGAAGGTTAAATTTTTATAATTTTTTTATTTGAAATTTCTACAAATAGTACGTCAAGAAATATACAGGAAGGCGGAATTTTATTACATGAACATTCAACTGACAATGCAGTTGTATTACTGCTGTTCTCATATTCAGCACTTGTAATATTTTTTAAAATTAAAGAGTAATTACTACTAGATACATTGCTAACTAACACATTATGACCAAAGCGTTGAGAACATTCAATGCACGTGTTTCACGGAATCGGGGACATTTCGAACCACGTCTATATGTTACAGTTCTGAAACGGACAATAAATAGCATATCAACTGCAATATTTCTTCAAAAATATTCTAACAATATCACAAAATGTCAAACGTTTAGCAAAAATCAATTCAAAACAGAGAAACTAATTCTATCTCACAGCGAAATCGCTACAAATCAATCACAGCATTAAGTAAACAAACAGTTCGCTAGAACTACAGCTACTACTGAGATGAATTGTTTGTTCTCGGCTTTTATAAGCTATTATAGTTAATTTCTCGAATATACTGGAAACATTTATAAATATCTGGATTTTTGTGGATGGCAACAGCAATTACGAGATATTTATTTATTAGGTATTAAATACACGCGCTGTTCTATTTTTAACCTTCCAACGCAGCTGTCTTTTCTAAAATCGTCTGCGTTGCTAAGGCAACATGAAGCAAATCTAATTACAATTCTAAAAAAAAAAAAAAAACTAAATAAATAACTATGAAATCCGTAACAATATGAATTAAGTAATAATTAATAATAAAGCAAAGTGCATGCACCAACATATCGTACAAAACTATGATTGGAAAACTGAGACCATGAGTTCGGCCACATTCGGCTATTGGGGGATGCGTACAAGTTCTGAGTGCACGTGTTCCCCAAAAGCCGAAGGTAGCTGAATGCAAGCTACTCACACGCACTTGTAATTTAAGTAGTGTGTGTGTCAGCTCGCTGTGAGTAATATCTAACAACACTGAATAAATTATCGTTAATTACTTAGCAGTAAACATTTCATTTTTTCTTCGTCGATATGTTATTTTATTATTATATATTATTATTTGCCAATATTTTGGCCGGGCCGCAAAAATATTTGTTGTGGGCCGCGAGTTTGACATCCTTGTTCTACACGAATGTTCTAAATTATATTTACATGTTGCAGTTCTATAGCTTACGTAGATCATTCTGCAGCACGTTAAATACTGATACTAAAAGCACTACTTTCGCGTAGCATATAAAGATTGTACTGGAAAACTGCATCTGAAGTGTGTCACGGAACGGTATATCGTACGGCTATTAGTCATCATCCGAATAACTTGTACTATAATCTAATTCAATAACTCTCAAATTTCTTTTTTTGGTTTGGTTCAAAAAATAAGGTTGAGCATTGCAAACAGACATGAAGTTGCTTAAAATCTGCTGATATTTTGCAATAGTAAAAATGCAGTCATCCAAAATACTCGGGACAATGCTAAATTATTAAACTGTCATCCAAGGGGGCAACAGGAGGGAGAAACCTCACACAGTCATTTTAAATATAAGTTAAATGACTGGAAAATTAACTATAAAAGTATGTATAATTTTATTTTCTTAATCATTTATGTCCTGGAACCTTTTGCATTAATGTAGGTATGAAAAGGATTTCAAATACAGTTCAAATTCTCTACCTGCTTCAGAAACACAATTTTTATTTAAAAAAAAATCCTCTTTGCGGAGAGTTCAAAAAATTATTGCGGAGAGCGTGAAGATTTCATTACGCCTTCAAAGCAGAGTAAGATACTTATTTTAAATTAACCAGTTATTACTTGTTTATTGTTATTGGATCTTTACTTAAATTTCTTCTCGTATTCTTCACCAGAATGCAAATGAGTTTGTTGTGTATTTAAGCTGAGGCTTTTGGATCTAAAGGCTCGTTCAGACTGGGATTTATCTGAGCTAACGGAGACAACTGAGTCGACCCATCTGTAAAGGGCCGTTTCCACTGGGGTTCATCTGAGCTAACGGAGACAACTGACGTAGTCGACCCATCTCAAAAACCTGTTTTCTCCCAGAGAGCAGCAAGTTGAAAAATCTGAACTGCAGGCACAGCAGAGCTAGTCGACACATGAAACTGACTCCGTTAACTCAGATATTAAACCTCAGTGGGAACGGCCCTTGAACCAGTTTTTCCCCATAGCGCAGCGAGTTGAAAAATCTGAACTACACGCATAGCGGAGCATTCGACACATGGAACTGACTCCCGTTAGCTCAGATAAACCCCAGTATGAACGGCTCATTATGCAGCTCCGCATGCAGTTCCCAAGTCAGCTCCGCCGCCCTAGAAAGATGAAGTAGATCAAAACTGGGTGAAATTGCAGAATAAAGAGTTCCTATCACTGTCATAGCGTGCTCAAATTTTTGCCAGCTGTAGCTAAATGTAACTATCTCGGCTTTGCGTTCCCTCGCCACTGATACTTTAAACTAACGCGCTGGGTAAATTATTGAGCTAGCATGTTGTTTGACATTTAATTGAGTAGTTTTAGACTATTGATCAATTTTTTAAATTTATTTGATTGCTATTTAATTTGCATCACCACAAGCAGTGGTACGAGTCGTGCCATGTTTTTAAATAAAATGGTTGTTTAAAACCTTCACAAGTATTTGTCGTAATGTTTCAGATATAGCAGTAACTCAATAGTCTGTTAGGGTTACAGGATTAACATTTTAGTAATAGACTAAATATAACCTTACTAAAATTTACTTATAAGTAACGCCCAAATCGATTGCAGACAATGTCGTAGTATCATGAATACAAGAAACTATAAATTTCAGCGTGGGGCATCGAAGGGTACGAGCAATTAAGAGCTGTAAAAACTATGAACAAAAAATTCTTCAAAATACAATTTAAAGAAACTGCGAAAAAATGTCAGCACAAACGTCTTATAAGAGATGACGCAATGCAGCTGCGGAGCTTTCATCAAGTGTGGACGTTTCTTCGGCTGATCATCGATATTTAGTGGCCTCTTGGTAAAGTTATTATTTGAAAGCTTCTTTGATTTTATGCAAACCATAATTATTTCATATGTGGTTTACAACAGAAGCATAGTAAATATTTTATATATATATCTAAGGAATTTGAGCTATGGAGTTTTGCTATTTGTGTTTATTATCATTCTTTTTTTAGTTCATCTGTTTTATATGAGATGCAGAATATGTTCTTCATTATCTTTCAAATTTTCAGTAGCTGAAAGAAAGTTCCGTATGTCCAAAAAGTAAGGAAAAATTATTTATTATTTTATTAAATTATATAACTCGAGCGTTACATCTGTTAATAGACAGCTATAGCTCGCCGGCGAGAATTAAATTGCGGTAAGTATCCCGACAAATGCAGATACTCTCAAATTCCATCAAGTTAGTTAAGCGGAGTATGAGTTGCTCTAAAAACAAACGAATAAATAACGTAATCGTAGAAAATTCAAATTATGGAAATGTACAGAGGGTGTTTACTCATTTTAGAAAGATTTCGGAGCTAAAAATGTAGTAAAAAAAGTATTTTTTAAATGATCGATCTCATAGTCTTTTTGTTTTAATTATAAGTCTGCATAGTGATTTCGATGATAAAAAGACTTTTCGTAAAATTTCCAAGAGTATTGATTTCCATTCCTCTTCCACTATTTTCCAGAGTCCATCAATCGAAGTGGGTTGGGACTCAGAAAGAGCTCTTTTCAAGAGAGCAAAGTCACAATAGTCCATAGGTGAAAAGTCAGGGGACTTCACAGGAATACATTGAGAAGCTACATATGCAATACCTGTATCGGTCTTCATTTTTTCTAAGGAATGCAGTTGTACTTTTCGAAGTATGACTTTGTTGCTCTGTCTTGATGAAGTTTCGCTCTTTGAAAATCATTGAAATAAAGAAATGGAATTTATTCTGCAAATGTCGGACGTAAAACTTTCTCTTGACAGTATTTTCAGTTGATTTTAGCATTTTCCCCCGTTTTCCTTACTTTTAATTTCTTAGTATAAGAGAATCCTGAGACAATCGTAAACACTTTAATGGAAATTTCTATGCGTTGACAGAACCAAGTGCGCACATTTCTTTCTGTTCACTTTCTGTAATAAATAGGCCTTTTCTTTTATTTCAATCATTCAGGTAAACCCCTGCTTCAACAAGGAACACAGTATATTTTCATTTATCTCCTAAACAGATTATATCCAGGATTCTAGGAATTGTTCTGCGTTTGAGCTAGGTACCTCGGCAAAAGTTGGGGAACATTATATTTTTTAGCTTTTTTAAATTTTAAATCTTGGTTTATTATTTTATTTACTGTTGTTACAGATGCATTTAAAGACTTAGAAATTGATTTTTACGTTGGCGGAAATTTTCCTTTTTACCAAGAATTTAACTTTAGAAACATCAAAAACAGTACGTACATTTTTCAGGTTTTCTTTTGGGGTCTTCTTTCCATACAGAACTAGCGAATGACGGATTTTCCCTTTTCAATTCATAATGTTTATTTTGCACCTCGGAATTTTACTACTATGCATTTTACAACGTTTTGAATTATGGTATGGGAATATTTCTCTCCGGAAAGCGCAAAAGCATATCCTTCAATCCACAGCTTGTTCACATGCGATATTTTGAAAGAAGAATAAATTTAAAAGTAGCGGACGATATTTTTCATTTCAAATAATATAACATGTTGCTAGAAATTTGTATTCTAAAACATTTGTTTCTTTTTAAAATTCGTTATCAAAACCATACTAAAAATGTATCTGTATACGGATATGATGTTTTTCTGAAAAATTTGTAATACAGAGAATTTACGGATTACCGTATTACGTAAAGTTAATGAAATTTTGAATTAAAGTAGAGAGAAGCTATATTTAGTCCTCGCATGTGAAAAATGTAATTTACTGAACATGAACTGGCTACAGAAAACCTGCTAGACAGGCATCTAAGTTCTTTGAAATGGCAAGATGGACACACATTATCAATTGCCTGAGACACGTGCTAATGTTAGCCTTTGATTTAAGCACCATTTTAGATTCATTATTGATACCACAGAACCAGTAATTTGGTTGTGTAATCTAATATCTGCCGCGACAGAAACTGCTCACAATAAAATTTTAATTAATAGTATTATAGCATGCATACGTTCTAACACGCATGTATACGGAGTTGCATTCGTATTCAACGTTTTCAAAGAAAGATCAATAGCTTGAGTCCAATAAAGAAGGCTATTATATATTAGCTTTATTCCGGTTTATTACTTGTAGATCTAAATAATTAGTACAAAGAACATACATGGTCTACCTACCTGCTCTTTGTACTTGAAATTTATTCGCATCGGCTCCCTTCAATGTGTGCAAACTAACTTCATCTAGAACGTATGAATCTAATTCTTGAAGGGCTGGCCAAGATCTGCTTATTTTAGGATCCCTATATATAAAGAAAGAAATATTGTTTTTTCTAGAAAAATCAGAAATTCAAGTTAATATAACTAGATCGTTATGAAATAAATAAAAATACTATGAATACTGTTTATTGGTTATTTTTCCAATGAAAACAATTATCTATTTAAACTTTTTTTTGCTTATAAATTAAAAACCTTGCAACAACATTTTTAAGAAAACGAAACGACACAGCGGCAAACGACAGGGAGGGAAGTTTTTGGTTCATTAGATTGCAATTTCATTTCAACTTCAAGGTGCTGTACCAAATAATCTAACCAGAGCCGATCAAAAGGCATGGGTAATTTCAGTTTAACTATAACACATGTAGTTTTACCTTAACTTGTTAAATTATCCAAAGCTTTCTGTTACTTTCTCTAATGAGTGAAGTGGCTCCAAATGTTATATATACAATCTGTCACAATATACACAATATTTGCAAAAACACTGGAGCACCAACAAGGACTTTTGCGATTGTGACGAAATTTGGTATGCAAAAACATCTTGATCGAACATGCAAATGATCAAAGTTTCAAGGCAAATGAACAAGAATTGCGATCATAGCGCACATTTCTAGTGCCAATTCGCAAAGTATAAAACCTGCAACAGAGGCGAAATTTTATTTCTGTTGCTGCCACTGTAATTCCGTAAAGAAGCAACTAAAGATGCCAATACGACGATATCGAAGACCTTACAGACAACTAAACGACGTCGAACGTGGTCGCATTGTAGCGTTGCGTGAAGCTAGGTGGTCATACCGAGCAATAGGCTGCGACCTGCAGCGTAGAGACACTACTGTGCAAAGATGTTGGTAGCAATGATTGCTACAAGGAAATTGCCGACCAAATGAAGGCTCTGGAAGGCCAAGGATCACAAACGCTAGGCAAGATAGGATGATTGTTCACCAGGCCCGAACCGCCCCAACGGCCCCAACGGTATCATTGTCTACTATTCAACGCACTAAAGCCACGTCTATACCTTCCGTGTTACCGTCCATCAACTCACGGCGCTTGTCTGAGGCGGGGTTACGCTTACAGATTCCTTAAGACGTTTGCCTTTGACCACACAACATCGCGAGAGTCGTTTGGAGTGGTGTCGCAGCCGATAAACATTGTTGCCATCAGACTGGCATAGTATAGTGTTCAGCGATGAATCCCGCTTTACTCTTGAAGCAAATGATCGTGTTCGTGTCTGGAAGGGACGGGGCCAGCGGTTCTAATAAGCTTTTGATCGTCATCTTGGGGCCATTTTCCAATAAGATAATGCCAGGCCACATACTAGTCACATATCTCTGGACTGTCTCCGTGCGGTTGATACTCTTCCTTGGCCAGCAAGGTCACCAGACCTTTCACCAATCGAGCATGTCTGGTACATGGTAGATTCGGGCACCTCAAAATATCGCAGATGTGAAGCAACAACTGAAGAATGCCTGGCAGAATGTGTCGCACAATGACATTAAGAACCTGTAAAACTCCTTTCTTGGACGAATTCAAGCATGCATTGCAGCCAGGGGCGTTAGAACAAGTACTAATTTGAACACTCAATGGGTGATTGTGAGCCGTGAACAGGTACTATGACCTTGATTTTTTAATAATTTTGTTATCTGTGTATGAGCTATAACACATATTCAATTTCATCAAAAACAACTTCCTTCATGGTACTTCAATTTTTTTGAAAAAGATTGTATATATACACAGAAGAAATTGAGCCACAATCACGAAACTCTGGAGGAATATAGTCTAAGAGATATGCAAATAATTTAAATATCCACGCCAATGAGACAAGGGTAAATGAGACAAATTACAATAAATCCCACGTATTGCTCTACTCAAAATAACCACGGCCTACTCAACAACCTCTGCGCCCGCGTTACAAATACTTGCAAGTACTCTTCCTCTAGACATCAAAGCCAAAATACCGAAAACACAGTACCGCCTCTTCCATTATGCGGAAGATGCCATGCACAGTGGCCACATTTACACTACTCACCAAAATATCGAACACAGAAGTCACGAAAAGCTACATCCAGCGCACTCAACAGACACACAATGGACTAATACAACACTACGAATATTCAAACAGAAATCTACTCTGGTGATTCCAAAGCAACCAACGGACTAGGAGCAGCTTTTGTGGTTTATAAAGATAAGAAGGAAATCCATCATGAAACTTACCGCTTCAGCGATCATGCTACGGTATTTCAAACCGAGTCATGAGTTATAAAAAAAGGAGCTTTATGCGTAGGTACTTACGATACAAATCATACAACATTTCGTACCGACAGTATTAGTGTTTTGCAAGGAATGAATAAGCGGAGTCAACTTCATCCCCCCCTTACATCAAAGCGCTACGCGATGTCCTGATTATTCTTCGAACAAGCCAGAAAATACAGATAAATTGGTAAAAGGGGCCACACGGCCTGGGAAAAAATGAGAGAGCCGATTAGCAAAAAATGCCACAACAAAACCGGAAATCGACAAAGAAATCCGAGTTTCGGAAAATGTCTCCATGATGCTAATCAAAGAAGCCTTTATGGCCGACTGGCAGGATAGATGGAGAAAGGAGTCACCGCGAAATTCTCATTTAATATTTTTCCAGGCAACCTCCCTCTCGCGGATAAACTATAACCACCTCTTCATTCAAGCATGCACCAACTACAGTCTTACTACACCAGTTTCTTGCATTGCAACATCAAATACGCTTTCGGCGCCACAAGATCCGAAGCATGCGTTAATTGAGATCTTGTTCAGAGGTAAAGGAGCTTCGTACGATATTCTACCTTTCTAACATCTCGAATGTCACTACTAAACATCTTTTCACCGACTACTACTGTGTAAGTGTATCCTAGCTATCACGACGCAAGTCAACACAGGGCACTTCAACCAAATACTGATAAAATGATTTACTAACCTATTTCGGTGTATGTTGCAATCGTAAATGGTTTTTTGTAAACTCTGTTAAATGAAGGTATTAAGTCCAAAAAGAGCATGAAAGTTTTAGAATTGCAGCCTAAGTGCCAAAAAGATTACTAGTGCAACGATCGCCATGATATCCCTAACCCATCGTACCTTCCTTAAGCATGATGGAACGGAGTGTGTAATGACTACACTAGCGGAACTTTAAGCCCAAGAAACGCGAGTGGACATGACGGATTCCTCGAAGGGGGAAAAAAGGCAATCACTCTTTTTGAGATACAATTAAACATCTCTGCAATAATTACATAAATCAATAAACAGTCTATGCGATAATTTTATGCAAAATGTCAACATTAACGTATTTCTTCAATACACGAAACTTAATTACGTACTTGCTTGCATTTCTTTGGCTCAAAGTTACGCTAGGACCTTAAGAGAAAACATGCTATCAAGAGTACTGCATCGGTAGGTGAAATACTTTACACGATGGAGCTTCTGTCGATTACATTAATGTTATTAATAAAACTATTGCCAAGTAAATATTTCACCAAAAGTTGCCAAACTTGTACCCTCAGCTAAAGACCGAACTAAATTATTTCCATAAATAGTTGATGACTGTTGTACTATAATTATGTTGATGATTTTCTGAATTACATAAATATATTGTTAAATACAGATACAATATTTTATGAAGGGGTTTTGGGGACTAGAGTAAATGCATCAAAGTTTTCTCCAAAAAAACTTACTCAAAGAAAGCATTCAGTCTTACCTAAATGACAATGAAAAGTTCCGTGGTTTCTGAGGTAATCTATGTTCATTCTGGTAGCCTTCATTCTCATAAGGATTCGCTTGTTGTATCTTGGTAACTGATTGCTAAAAAATCATTATACACAGAATATGCAATAATACTTCGAACAGTAACACATACATACATTTAATTACATTCTAACAATTGCAATATTAACTCACCGCGCATTTAAGTTTCTTTTAATTTGTAATTATTACCATCTTTTAATATTTAACTGTGTAACTTTGTCTTCCTCCTTACGGCTTGGTTTCGTGGAAAGAATGTCGGGTAGCAATGGAAGGCCTAAGTTCGAATCTCGATACTGAGCGTTGCTGCGCGAGTGAAAACGACTACCATAGAAACTCATAAATCATACTAATTTTTCAGAATTAAATCATGTTATGAAAACTGTATGACTTTTACAGAAGACGAGCATCCTTTTTTGTTCATTCTTACAACCTCTGTTTTAGATTTTCTTTGCGTAGACGAGCCTTACGCATGATCGTGCCTATATATCATGACTGATGTATGGTATATATTTTTCTATTATATCAACTTAAGTCTATGCCAAATTTCATTTAAACTCGTAAGTTCTAATGATAATCGACTAAATGGAAAAATTCTCTTAATTTTGAATACCAGCGTATATCGAAAGTAATACAATAAAATATCCTAGGGAATTAGAAATCACATATGTCTTATTTCATTTTCAAAATCATACTGCGAACTATGTTTAAGAAATTTGACAGTACAATAATAAATGGCACTTGTATGTTCTTAAATAAGAAAGTAGTATAATAGTATTCGTAGTAAATCTTCATCATTATCACCCCCATAATGCAGTCGAAGGAGATACCAGTTGAGATACAAAGGAGATACCAAAGTACTACTTGAAATAATGAGCGCACATATCACTGTCAAAATTATTTACTTTGGCGCCAGGTCATCTGTCATTAAGTGCTGGAAATCTGGAATCTTTTTGTCACCTGCTAAGATTTTGTTTAGACACAATGCCCAGCTCAAATTCCAGCAAAAAGAAGCCCGTCGTTCTAAAACTAGATCGTATGATAGGAATTAGCCCGCCCTTTTCGATACAGACATCTCAAAGAACATTTTAAATATGATTAGGAGACTCGGTATGAAATCAGCTACTATTTCAAACTCTGTCAGGCAATAAAAGAAGCGCGACAAGTAACTAGTAACTGCTCTTCGTCAGACGAGTAATACGAGTAACTGCTCTTCGTCAGACGAGTAATACGAGTAACTGCTATTCGTCAGACGAAATGAGTTTTATCACTTCACTGCGGATTCACTCAAGATATTCCTGTAAGCAAGTTATGCCAAATAAGTTTATGCTAAATCGCTATAACTGCTCTCTACGAACTTAATTGCTAAGCTCATCACCTTAAACTTCTCTAATCGCCATAATTGCTCTCACCACTTCATCTGAATGTTTCGCATTCAAATCTCCTGAACTCTAAGCTAGCAAAGAAAAAAAAAAAAATATATGCTCAGAAATTAATTTCACCTGCTATACACAGGGTAAGGCGATGCCTGGGAACCTGCATGTGCCACTGCGACTCTTGATGAGACGAAGCGCATATCGAAATTCACTAAGGTTAGACAAAATCTTCAGACATATCTTAGCATTTTAGTATTTAGCTCATTTCATTGTCTTCAGTATACAGGGAGTAGTATATACTTTTCAAATTCTTTTCGATGTTCTTATGTAACATAATTAAATAAAATACTTTTTAATAAAATACTTACGCTAGGAGTCACTTGCTCGTTTTGCCTCCAGTAACCTTGATACCATTCTTCACGATAATCGGAGGATACGGCATTCCTGATTTTGCGATTTTCCACTCCTTGACGATCTTCGGAAAAGTATGGATACCGAAGGGCCTGGAAAAGAATTATAAACGGATACACATATATATTTGCACTTAATTGTAAAATTCGAGATTTGATTAGAATTTAAACTCAATTATTTTGTATTTTATCTATTGAAGTTGGTAGCCAGTTTCAAATGATTGTTACCGAAATATAACTCGCTTATAACGAGGCCTGATTTAATAAGAACCCGGATTTAACGAGGAAATCGTAAACAATTGGTACAATGTTAAGTCTACGGAGGCATAACTCACTTTTAACGAGCAAATTGCGGTTATAGCGAGCAATAGTTCTGTGATTCATAAAATTTCGAGTTTCACTTCTCCCGCTCAGCTAATCCTTTCTTGGAAAAATTTCTTTAACCTTCCGAAGTCAACCGATAGTTAGTGATGAGTCATAACTCCTGCTCATATGTGACGGCGGCCTTTTTTATCTTGGGGATTGATAAGGATTGAATTTTTACCATCGAATTCTACAGGTGTTATCCAGCCTATGGACCAAGGGATCATCAGAAGTTTTAAATCAAACTTTTGTGCGCACTTGATGATTTCGATGCTTCTCGATAGAGAAGAACAAATCGGAACAATCTCAAATGCTAATGTAACCGTACTCGAAGCGATACGTTAAATAAACGATGCATGGGGAAACGTTACATCAACATACATTCCCAACTGCTCCGTAAGGTTGGATTGGACATTTCTCAAGACGGGCAAATCGCTGAGGAAGAAGAAGCCAGACGCCTTAGAATATTTCGAAATGAGTAGAGAAGAATTTGAAAATTATGTGTCTGTTGACGCCAATATTATCATTTCCGAAATAACTATTCCCGAGAATACTGTAGCTGAAATTCAAGCAGATGAAAAAAAAACAATGAAAGCTGCAATGATAACGAGAGTGTGAAGAATTTCAAGATGAGTCATCCCCAACATATTCAATGGTTTTTGAGTGCGTAAAAGAACTTAAAATTTTTTCGAAGCCAGCAAATGCAAATGATGATATTTCTCGGGCAATGAGTCTTCTCCTAAGAACAGTAACACAAGAAAGACACAATAAGGTAGTTCAAAGCAAATTAACAAACTTCTTTTATACTATACAGAAATAAAAAAAATGAATAAAGCATTTATAATATAGTAAGCATGTATAAATTTTTATGATTTTTTTCATGAACCCGTTTCTTACAAGAACTCTGTTTAAACGAGCAAATATCGCGGTCATTTTACGGTCGTTATAAGCGAGTTCAACTACTGTACATACATATGTCTTAGCTGCTTGAAGAATAGGTAACTGTCCCCGATACTTTCAAAATGCATACGACATTTCTTTAGTATTAACGGCAATCTAAGATTGGTTTTTGCTTATATGTAAAGTTCAAATGCTTCTCGTATATCTATTAATGATAAGAGTGTTGTAAGTGAAATACCCGACATCGATGGTGATGCTTGAAAAGTCAGTGTATAAGAGGAAGCAACATGCCTCACTGATCAAAATAACTGCAATCGACATCAGTACATATTTTTAATGAAAAGCAGAATCGGTATCATAAGCGTGTATTAACTTCTTTACTCAGTCATTACCAGAATGTATATAAGCTCTCTCAGATTCTATTTACAGTGTCAACGACTAGCGCAGAAGTCATGAACACGCTATTGATTTTATTAGTATTGTTCATACATTATAACAACAGAAAAAATTCAAGTGAGAAGGAATGCATGTGACTGCTAACGATCATGAATTTGCATCATGATCTGACAGATATGGTGTGTGATACTGTTTGTTCTAATTTTATTCAAAAACCACGGAAATATCATATTTTCTACACTTTTTTACACTCTCCAATTGAGGTTTAACAGAAAAAATTGACTACAAGAAATTATCTTTCACATATATATATCAAAATGAAACAAATAGATTAAACAATCTTTTCCATTTTACTAATCGTTGCTAGGTGTCAGGACACCATTCAGTTGTGACCATTCAACTTCTGTTCAGCCATCTGCTTTAACTGGTAAAGATCCGAATCAAAGATTAATGGCTGAAGGGTAATGACCATGTTCATTTATTCATACAGAAGATTCGTCATCAGCTGACATATTTTGTCACTAAATGGCATATGGTTGACTAGACAGTTCTTTTTCCTTCTTGAATATTGTTTTTATATTATTTGAGCCTCAAACGCTGATTATTCGAATTTAAGCTTAAAAAAGTGGCAATTCGTAAGTCTCAAATAATTTCCGTAACTAATTTCAGTTTTACTTTCTCTATCCAGTTTTAGGGTAGTTATTACACTCGCAACATAGAATATTCTTAGGATTTCGTGTTTAAGTTGCATCGTTTTGAAATACACTGAAGACATCCTCAGTACCTTGATTCTCAGACGTCCTCAGAATATCCCGTTTAAATCATTGTGCCCCAAGATATCCGAATATGTTCGTAAAATGTTGATTCTCAGTCAGCTTGAAGATTTCGTCATTTAACATCTTGAGGATATTCGTACATCGTTCTTTTTCTACATTTTCAGTCGTCCTCACAAATTTTCCTTATGCTTTCGGCTAGAGGGGCACCTACTGAGGATGTCCTGTGGATTTATAGAATGTGACATTTGTGTTTAGATGAATATTTTTTTGGATATCCCGAGGATGTGGCAAGTAGGACTTTAATCTTCGCAACAAATCGTGCACTGTCAGAAGGACACTGGCGTAGCTAGGGTGGTGCAAGGGGGGCATATGTCCCCGGGCGCAGCATCCAAGGGGCGTTAAATTGATGCTACGAAATTTTTTAATGAACTGTTTTCCATTCTTGGCACACAGAAAGGGGCGCAAATTATTCAGTTGTCCCCTGGCGCTGGAAACTCTAGCTACGCCTCTGCAGAAGGACCTAAGGAGAATGCTCTGGAGATATACTGAGATATGACATCAAGCACACAGAAATATGTATTTAGAAAGTGAGGGGGATATTCTGGGTTGTGTGGATCTTGTAAGCAAAAACCTCAGGATATCTCGAGAAGGTTTTTACAATATGGGCTTAAAACTGCTGATATAATTGGTAAAATTTAGGCATAGCTTTGATAAATTTCATATTGCAAACTGTAAAAATTTTACCTGCAACTGAGGCTGGACCTTTAAATCTCTGAACAAATGAACTCGCTTTGGAAGCCTCTAATTAATAAATCAATAGCTCATATTTCCTAATTGGGGAAAAAGAAGATTGAGATTTAGACTTTAAGCAAATTCTGCTTGAACTTTTTAAAGTTTTATCGCGATCGGACTGGGTACGTTCTTTAAAGCACCGTCTATGCTCCTACTTGATGTATGCCATTTATCCTGCAGTATAATTCAACTTCAGAATGGCACAGAAACGTAATATTCCGAACTCGGCCATTTGAGCTACATCAAGGTAAGATAATATGATCAGTTAGACTTTAAATAAAGGATTCAATAAATCAAAATACTTCAGGTTAGTCCGTACTTCTCCCCAAAAGTAGTCGTTAACGGACTTTGCATGAACTAATCTTTATTTTGTAGAGACATTACGTATTTTTTTGGAAGCAGGCAAGATGAAAAATTAGCAATGTCTTCGCCAGGAATCGAACCGCGGACCTCTCAATTACACGCTGAGCGTGCAGACCACTACACCACGAAGGCTCAAGAAGGCGGAAGAAATACCTTATAATTTTAGATGCAGTTACTTATAATAATATATTTAACTTTTAATAATGCTATAACGTAATTATTAATAATGTTTTAATGTAATTAGTTTTTGACTATTTTCACTTTCCTTTATAAGAGCAATTGAAGAATTTACGTTGTTTCCAAACTCTAACGAAACTTTTAGAAGGAGTATACTACACAGATTTTGCTTTCATTAAAACAACGAAAATAGACTGATACCAAGTAAGCTGTTGGTCGAAGACTTGGATTCCATTTCAGCAAGTCCTCCAAAAGTGTGAGGCCTTCTATGCTGACGCTGGGTACTATATCTGCCAAGGAGAGTCGGGAAAACTTGGGGAAATGGAAGTTCATTTGAGCCGCTAGTCGGTAACCTTCAGGCCATTCACGCTGTAATAAAAATACTGTAAATATAAATTAAATCATACTACAACAGAATTTTGAAAAAAAGTTTGGAAAAAGTTATACAATTTACGCTATTAGATAAAAACAACAGATAGAAAATAACATTTACTTCACACACATTTAGAAAACAACACTTAATTAAAAGTAACTTTTTTTTTTCAATGCGCATGAACTATTTCGGCTCAGTGTCATTAAATTAATTTTGTTATCACCAAGCTGAAGGTCCTTTCAGATGCAAAATAATTTTCTCGAATTCACTAAGAGCACGTGGAACCTCTGCTCTTTTTTTATACAGCTAAGTTCGAATTACATGCGAGATGAAGAATTGTACAGATTTTTTCATTTTTAACAAGATGGCCGCTTTTGTTTGGTGTGAGGAATGGAGCTGCATACAGTCTACCCTATTAAGATGAAACAACTACAACAAATTTATACATGTTGTTGGCAACCGCCGTGGATTCCCCTAGCGCATGCGCATGATAAGCAAGTTCTCTGCTGCGTAATACTTATACTTAGTTAATACGCAGTTAGCCAAAATCAACGGTGAGTATTGCATGTAAGCGAGAAGTGCAAAGCGCTGTGTCATATCATGTTTCTACTCTGCTGTTCAACGTCTTCATAGTTTAAATAAATGTTTGTCATGTATATGGAAGATGTCATTTTATTCTTCACATATTAAGAATTACAAAAATTCATAATTTAAGGAATCCTTTTTATTAATATTTTATTACATAGACACCATATCTAAAGACATAGCAAAAATAAAGTTAATAATCTGCAGATTCTGCTTTTGTTAGGTATTAACAATTGAAGCTGAAAGTATTCCGTGAAACAAAAAGTAGATTTCCCTTTGCGGAAGGAAGTAACGCCTAAAGATGATACACTATTTCTCTATTTCTTGAAATATACTGAATTGTGATAACATTAAAGCTAAATGTCTGCCAAATATTAATTTTTCAGCTAGTGTGTTAGTTTTACACCTGTTTCAAAAACATTAGTTTGGCACTCTTTTTAGATTAATACTTGCAGTCGAATCTCCATTAACAAAAAATCGCCTTTTCACTGGACACTGGAAGTTAGGAGACCAATACTTCACAATTATACACTTCCATTTAACGGACACCCCTTGATAACGCCTTAGTCCTGTCAGTGTCCAATACAATGCAACCTTCCGTTCGCTTATTGTTTAGAAATACAATCCAGCCTTCCGTTCGATTGTATTTGCAAAATTTAAATATCCTTGTTTTACTTAAACTTTTTAGTCCGTTAAAAATAGATAGAAATATTGAAAGTTACTAGATAAATACAAAATTGAAAATAAAAATCTATCAAATTAAGGTAGTGGCAAAGCAAATGAGGGCTATCTTTCTAACAGAAGGATGCCTTCGCAAGAGGCTTTCTAAAGGAAATTAGTTCGTATTTTAATTACACGGAAGAAAAACCACAGAAAGCACCCCGACAGCCAGCCTATTCACCTGAGTTCGAACCTAAGTCGAACTACCAGTATTCAGAGGTCTTAATCACTCGCCTGCTGGTGGGACTTAGCCAATAAAGATATACTTTTAGACATAAGTTTTCGTAAGAACTCATATATCTAGAAAATATTTTAGAACATTCTGTAATCTAATAAAAATCCAGCACATCTTAAAAAATGGTGCTCTTGATATGTGATTGGTATTTACGTATTAGCGTAACCCCCTCGGCGTAATATGATGATCTTTTTTTTTATCACAAATTATTTGAATTAGTATTTATTCCGAAATATTTTAAAACATATTATGATATAATGTTTATGTTTTTCTATATGTTTGAATGAGTGTTCATTCCGAAATGCTTTACAACCTATTATAATAGATTATATATATATGTAAAATATTAAAAAAAAATAGGATGGCTTTGCTCTTTGCGAACCAGCAACCTTTAATTAATTTTCTGCAATTCAGGATCTTCCCCTAAACCAGTACCTTCTAGAACATTCGCACTTATTACATAACCTCCTCATATAAATGCTACGTCATAAGGTTTTCTGTTACATAACCTTTCATATAAATGCTGCGTCATAAGTTCTCCTAGACAGATGCCTTCTCGCCTTCGTCCTCCTAACGCTTTCGCTATGCTCCTCTTTCGTTGTTAGAACGTATTAAAGTTTAAAGTCTGTCGTATCTAATAGTTCAACTGAATAAGTTATTTGATTAACTCCATCTGGAAAAAGTCATCTGCTCTAAATTAAAATAAAGATATGCTTGCTGTTAAAAGTGAAAAGTCCTGAGTCGTCATTTTGCTCCGTGGTGCATGTGTTGGAATAACTGAAAACATTACATACACGTAAATTATCTCCATTTTCAGGACCTTATTAAATTTTAAAACAATATTCTGAAGTTACTTATGAAATAGATAAACCTAATCCTTTAACTAAAAAGAAATCAGAAATTATTCATTCAACTAGATTAAGACCTTTTAAACCAGCAAGTGAGTTTAAGTTAACTGTCAGAAATAGTAGAATTCCTATCTCTGTTCAAAATTAAAATTAATTTTTTCAAAATTCTCTTTTAAACATTTTCCTGATTATGACTTTTAATACCTGATTTAAACTTGAACCCTAACTATGACAAGTTATTTTCCCGATAATGACAAATTATTCTCCCGATCTTGACCATTTATATTTTTCACATAATTTGAATTATTTTGTAGCAAAAATTTTCTTCTTATTGTAGGATAATATTTGTTTCTAATTTAAAAAATTATAAAAAGACTTTAACTTGATTATACAAGTTGTCTGTCTTATAATTTTGATTTTATATGATCTTTTATTTTTCTGAAACCACTTTGAGGTAATGTACAATGCCAAAAGCCAGTTACCTTGCATCAGGCAACGGAGGGTTTTCGATATTTGTACCTAGCACCTCCCAAACATCAGCAAGTAATCACGCTGATCTGTTGGCGAGGACATGCCATAGTTTTAAAGTCAAAGTGTTCATGTTCTAGTGTATAATTGTATTATTTATATTGAATTGTTTTTTGAATAATTATAATATTTTGTATTGAAGTGTAAAATATGTCAATCTTTAATTGCCTACGATGAGAGGAAAGAATGCACATAATATATATTATTCATAAATTGTATAATCTATTTCTTTTCTAAGTTTTATCTAGAGGAAGAAAAATTTAAAATATTTTCTAATCAAAGCTTACTATTATGAAAAGATATTCAGCGAAAATAAATGCATCATATTTGTGAACTATCAACGTGCATCATATTTGTGGACTATCTGGCATTTCGAGATTTTACCAGATATTTTCATTCTATTTGAACTCTTTTTATGAAAAGGACATTCAAAAACCAAAATAGACATTTTTAACAAAATTGAGGACTTTTGTAATTATAACTTATTTATTTATTAGTATTCCATATTTATTATGTTATAGTTTTAAAATTTATCATATATTGTATATTTATTTATAACTCATAGTTTTAATGTTCAAAATTTCATATGCTATAAAGTCAAAATTTTATATGAGAAAGTCATGCACTATGATAGGCCATAGTTAAATCTTGTACGCTATGTCCTGGATGTTTTCATGTCTTTTCTCATATTTTTGCTTTACTCCTGTACTCATGCTTTTCTCACCCGTCCTCTCCTTTTGACGGGGGGGGGAAGATATAAAATATAAAAAAAATACGATGGCTTTGCTCTTTGCGAACCAGCAACCTTTAATTAATTTTCTGCAATTCAGGATCGTCCCCTAAACCAGTACCTTCTAGAACATTCGCACTTATTACATAACCTCCTCATATAAATGCTACGTCATAAGGTTTTCTGTTACATAACCTTTCATATAAATGCTGCGTCATAAGTTCTCCTACACAGATGCCTTCTCGCCTTCGTCCTGCTAACGCTTCCGCTATGCTCCTCTTTCTTTGTTAGAACGTTATGACGTATTAAAGTTTAAAGTCAGTCGTATCTAATAGTTCAATTATTGAATAAGTTATTTGATTAACTCCACCTGGAAAAAGTCATCTGCTCTAAATTAAAATAAAGATATGCTTGCTGTTAAAAGTGAAAAGTGAAAAGTCCTGAGTCGTCATTTTTCTCCGTGGTGCATGTGTTGGAATAACTGAAAACATTACATATATATATGTGTGTGATATTTTGGCAGTCGGGCACATGAATGAAGCTTGGCATCAAAATCCGAACATGGCTGAGTGGCTTACAGGAGAATCACGGCACAGAAGAAATTAGCTTTAATCGCACATCTTTATTCAATTAAAATGACAGATCACTATTCTTTAAATTCTCCAGAATTACATATCCAATAATGATTTAAATTAAAAGAAGGTTAAGGTTAAGCTTTCGATGTCATAACTATTCTAACAAAGGGAAGAAGAAGGGACAGAGCAGCGTAAGGTCTTATAGCAGCGATGGCAGGTAGCATTCTGACGAAAAATGGTGCGAACTCTGCATTTATAGTAGCGATTACATAACATGCCAGAATGTTCTCGAAAGTACTTCTAGGAGGATGATCCTGAAACTGCGGAAAGTTAATTACAGGTTATTTGTTCTCCTAGAGCAAATCTATCGTATTTTTTATATTTTACATCTCCCCCCTCCCCCCCCTCAAAACGAGAGGCCGGGAGTGCAAAGTACATTAGGGAAGCAAGAAAAATTTAGAGTATCAGGAAAGACATGAAGAAAAACATCCAGGACATAGCTTACAGGCTTTAACTATGCCCTATCATAACTCATGATCTTTCCCATATAATTAGCAAAATGCTTAATTATATAATTTTTACAATGGAACCTATGATTTATTAATAAACATATAATTTATAAGTAAACATCCAATTTAGAACTATAAGATAATAATATATTTAATAATACTAAATAATAAATTCGAAATCATAAAAGTCCTCAATTTTCTTCAAAATGTTCTATTGAAAAATGCAGGTTTTTGTTTTTAAGTCCTTTCATAAAAATAGTTAAAGCTCGAATGAAAATTCTGGTTTTAAAGTCAGAAATGCCTTTAAATGCCAGAAAGTCCACAAGATAAAAATAAATACCACAACACTGTTTACACGTTTTCAATGATAGATTGGTTCCATAGTAAGTTTTGAATAGCAGATTTTGAAATTTCTTTTATATAAAACTTAGAAGATAGACAATTTATTCGTAATGTATTACTTGCATTCATTCTTCTCATCCTAGGTAATTAACAATACATTGACATGTTTTAAAGGAATATAAAACTTCAATACAAAACATTATGATATACTACTTTAAGAAAACAATTCAATATAAATCTCTAATAATATGCTGCAATATTTAATAAGACAATAATACCTTGAATTAAATCCAATAAATCAGCGTGCCTAATTTGCTGATGGTTGCGGGGTGCTTAAGCACAAAATATCAAAATTCCTCCGTTGCCTAATAAAAGATAACTGGTTTTTGGCATTGTACATTTTATCAAAGTGTTTTGTACAAATACAAAATCCTACAAAATTAAAATTTAAGCCAAATAACTTATGTGATCAAGTTAAAGTCTTTTTTAGAATTTTGGAAACTAGAAATGAATATTACCCTACAACAAGAAGAAAAAAAGAAAATTTTGTTGTAGAAGCATGTAGGAAAGAGGAATAAAGGAAATTTTTATTTTCTAAAATTACGCGAAATATATGTGTTTCTGTGTGTGTGGTAGCACTTTTGTGCTGAACTATGGTCAGAGGATCGTGGCTGGTATGGAAAGTATGCAAAAAACCAAGCCAGTTTCTTAACCATAGTTGATTCTTCTAACAATAAAATAAAAAAAGATAAAATTTTGAGGGGGGTGTTAGGAGTATTACCTAGGGGGGCATCGGGCGTGTGCTATCACTTGGCGGTTGTTTTAAAAATATATTTAAAATATCGTTTCCTTTAGTAATATTGCAACAAGAATATTTCTTTTCTGCAATAATTTTATCGAAAATTTTTATATTGTATGCAAATTTTAAATTGATTTTAATAGAAAATAAATAAATAAATCTGAAAGCTTTCAGAGTTTACATTACGCACAAAGGAGATTTTTTTTAACGTTTTGTGTGTTACCTTTATTTATTAAATATCATGTTCTTCGCACTAAAACCATAAAATTCAATTGAACAGCAATATCATAAAATAATTTTAAAATGAGCATATCTTTAGAATTTCCGGTACACAGTCTCGCGCGCTTTGTTAATCAAAAATTCATTAAAGGTTTTACAAAATATGAAATAGATAATAAAAAAAATTCAAAATTTGGACTTCCAGATGCCCATATTCGGGTGGAAACGTATGCTATTCAAAATTTGATGGCTCTAGGTACCGTCGTTTTATCACAATGTGAGAAACATACATCCATTAATGCAGATTCTTCATTATCGAATTTCTTTAAATATAATACAGAATGATAATATTTGGTAGCAACAATTTGAAAAGTGAATCAACGTTTATAGTGAATCGACGCAAAATGCCAACGAAACTTAATAGTCCTTCTAGGTAAATTGCCACTTTGGACTAAAAATATCAGTATCGATCTATAAAAACCTTTAAAACATGTAACACAACATAAAGAACTCATATAAAAATGGTGACATTGTTTTAAAATGGAAAACTGTTATGTTGGCTGAAGAACTATTATAAGCATAGTTGCCAGAGTTTATGACATTAGAAAATTTGGCAACTTCTTCTAAGGTGGTTGCACTAAACATGTAAGTGCTATATATTTATCATTCCTTTTTTCTATCCTTCCTTTGCAACGGCTAAAGTTGAAAGAGGTTTATTCTATTACTATAATAGAAATCAAATCTCAGTTTTCGGATAAGCAAAAAGTATGCTTGCTTGAGTAAAACTAAGACTGTGGAATTGTGAACTAATTAATAGTTATTGGTTAGTTAAGGCTCTAATTAAAGTAGCTCTTAGATTGTATTCCCTAAGAAATATTTAAATTTTAAATGTAGGATTTGATCTAGTCTAATTTCGAGTTCAGTTTTTTTTTAATGCTTGCTTCGACTTCGTAAATTATAAAAGTCAAAACATATCCCAAGACAATGTCATTTCTTTGTAAGAAGAAATTTAATTTATGACTTTTTTACGACATGAATAATTCATGCTATTGAGCCAACAAACATTCATATCTCTAGAAGATCATGATTAAATTTCATTGTGAAATTCTGAGTAAACTAAGTCAGGAAGAATAAAGTTTCCATTCGAAAATTCGTAAATCGGTATAATATGTAAACAACCAGAGGCTACAAACAATGATCATTAAAAATATTTAACCATAACATTTACAAAAAAATTGCCTAAAATTTGCGAGATAAAATTTAGTTTTCTTAAAATTCATAACGAAATGAAGCTTATTTACCATGACAACATTGGCTCAAAGTGTCGGTTTAGCAACAATAATTCAGTTTTGTCTGCTTCGTTATAAACAAAAATTTGCCTAAAACCTGTATTTGATCTAACAATAAAGTAAAGGATATTTCGGTAAATAAAATTCTTACCCTGTCTGGAGTACCCAAAACAGATGATATGCGGAAAATCTGATCAATTTCACTCCTTCCAGGGAATAATGGTCGCAAGTTGTATAGCTCGGCCATAATGCAGCCAAGAGCCCAGAGATCTATAGGCGAGTTGTAGTTTGTTGATCTCAGCAGAATTTCGGGAGCTCTATACCTACAAATTCCAAATAAAAAGCTACTTAAACTATGTCAAAGTATTCCCCAAAAATTGTTTACCACTTGGAATGATCATAAAATTTGTTTATTAATATAGGCTTAATTTTCAAATTTTAAAATAATTTACGGTTATGAATAATTTTTTCTCTCTTTCAGTTTTCTCTCTTATTTTTAAAGGCAGTCTTATCGCTTCAAGCATTTTTGTAGGAACTATTTATTTTCTGCATATCCTGCGAATACCTGCAGATTGCAAGCTTTATTCCGGATTATATTTACTGATAGTATGGACTGTAAATGTTCCAAAGAAAACGTTTTAAAACGCGATGGTCATGCAATTTTGAATTCCCTATTTCGCGATTTTCTTCAACTCCATATTCCAATCAACTTTCCTTCTGGGACTCGTTGATGTCCGCAATTTTCTAGGACATTTCGGAGGACATTATGAACAGTGCCATTTGCTTGAGATCTATTTGAAACTCTCTTCTGAACTAGCTTTGCATTTTAACTGCATTTTCTAACTTATAGTACCATTTCAAGATAAATGTTATTTGTTTAAAGTCTATTATTTGAAAATTATTTTATATTAAAATTAATATAAAATTAATATTAAAATTAAATTAAAATTAGTTATCAGCTTCTGAATTGCATGCATGTTTTGTGATATCTTATATATCGACGACTTTAATTTAAAGCACAATTTCCGCTTTTCTAAACCCTTTTCAAAAATTCAAGATCTTATATGTAATGGGATGTCATATTTGGATCTATACAATATTATACAGATCTTCTTCAACTGTAATTTACTCGCTTCTTAAAAACGTGGTTTGATTTGTTTGCTGTAGTATCCTTACATATATTAATAGCCTCGAAAGATTTGCTTTCTTTCGAATGCAGAGTTTTGCTTCTTGGAACTAAATCTCCTGTTTTGCCATTTTATCCTTAATATCAGGTTTTGGAAATAAATACTTGAATTAAAAGGATGTAGATCCATTTGAAGTTTTTTTAATAGTCACTAATTATATTTCCCTGCATTATAAATAATTCCTGGCTGGCAAGAATTTTCAGAACGAAGGGGAAGTGAAAATAATGGTTCAGGTTATGCTCTCAGGCGGCGCCTTTCATGGCACGAGTCTATAAAAATGTCTTTCTCTCTGTGAAAAATGCTTCAATAATGACGAAAACTGAATGAAAAAGTAACTGGAATATACCGGCTTCTTATAAGAAAATACAAATTTTGTATTTACTTAAAGCACACACAAAAAAAAAGTAAAATTAATTAATTAAAAAATTAATTGTAAAAAAATTAATCGGAATTTTCCACTGAAATGTTTAAAAAAATCTGAAAGCTTTCAGATTTTAAATTGCGTTCAAAGGGGCGTTTTTTTAACGTTTTGTGTGTTACCTTTATTTATTAAATATCATGTTCTACGTACTCAAACTATAAAATTCAATTCAACAGCCATATCGCAAGTTAATTTTAAAATGAGCATATTTTTCGAATTTCCAATACAGAGTCTCGCGCGCTGCAGATAAAAATGTATTTTTTTCGTACAGTGTTGCCATTGCTCGCTTTGATATCGTTTAGGTTTTTAATCAAAAATTTTTTGAAGTGTTACAAAATATGAAATCGATAATAAAAAAAATTTCAAATTCAAATTAGGGATTACACATGCCTATATTTTATGGAAGATTACGTTATTAAAATTTTGATGGCTCTAGGTACCGTTGTTTTATCACAATGCAAGAAACATACATACATTTATGCAGATTCTTCACTATTTAATTTCTTCAAATATAGACAGAGCGATCATGTATGGTGACAACGATTTGAAAAGTGATACAGCCTTTTAAAGTTTTCGACGCAAAATTCGAAAACGAAATTAATAGTCCTTCAGGACAAATTGCTCCTTTGAAATGGAAAATAAAAAAAAAAAAAAACACCCCTGCAATATAATTTTTTTAACCAAACTTCACTCGATCAAAACCCTGAATCAAAACTCAAACCTAACTGGAGTTATGTAGAATCTAAGTAATATACCTTAATTATAAAACGGCCTTCAGTTAAAAATATCTAACATATAATCCATTAATGAACTAAATGCATGAAATCGCTTTCTTAGTAACATTTATTTCCCAATTTGCTATTTTTGGTTATGATACACTAAAGATCACTTGCCTTCATTGTGAAATAATATTTATCTCGAAAGAATAAAACAACTAAAAGTAATGAAGATTAAAAAAAATGTTGGTGACTGATTAGAGAATTTTTGGTTAAGTGAAGTTTGGTTGAAAGAATATAATGCAGGCTTTTTTTTTTTTTTTTTTTTTTTTTTTTTTGGTACTTTGAGTAAATACAAAATTTGTATTTTATTATAAGAAGCCGGTATACTCTAACTACTGAAAGATAAATTCTAATGTTTGATGATCCCATATAACCTTTTCTATAAGATCATTCTTGCTACTTCTTCCTCATCAATGATATACTAGCACGCAATAATATGATTTGAGACATTAGTGACCTGTGATTTCGAAAATGATAGATGAAACACGCAATAAGCTATTTTGTTTGCTAACGTTTACCAAAAGCTATAAGAAAGCGTGTTAAGTGCATAACAGAAAATTATTAATAGATTAAAATATAATAAATATTGTAGCTTTATAAGTATATCTAATTAAATATTTCTTATTACAAGAAATTCTGATTTAAAATATTTTATATCAAATATTATAGGCATGAATGAATTAATATATTGAAATGTATAAATTATTAATACACACCTAATCAGTAGCGTTGTTCCATTTTGCTTCAAATACATCAACTGTATGCCTTAGCAGTGATTCAACGAAGTGCATAAAATCAAGCTAGTTGCATTTTCTTCTCGCTTCCTCCAAGTGTATATCTCAAATCCTTCGCAGAATGTGGCGGTAAGTCCAGTGCTTTCTGTTAGGAGCATTCCAGCACGTTACAGAAATTCTCTATCAGATTGAAATCTGTTGACATGAGCACCACATGGATATTATATACTTAGCGGAATGCGATAAATCCTGTGCCTGCTACGAGCAATGTGGCAGGGCAGTATCAAGTTCAGAGATGGCACCATTCTCCTCGAAGAAACTACGTTATGATTCTCTTCAAGGGATTGGCGGATCCAAAAAACGTCCAAGCAAATGCTCCTTAGAGTATTTTACTAGTACCAGCTGTTAGCAGAACATCATTCTGGCACGGCAGGTCCCTTGTCTCGCAAGGTTTCCTCCGTACACGTGCTATATAATGCAGTTGAAATCTCAATTCGTTTGGCCAGATAACACTTTTCCAGTCGTCTACAGTTCAGTAGCGAAGAAATTTTGCACACTGCAGCCTCATAATTCTGTGTCTTGAGCCAGCAGCGGGAAATGATGAGTATATAGGCTGTCAAATCCAACTTTCGCTATGTGTCGATAAATAGTCTTTTTGTACAAGCATATAAAAGCAGCTGCCATTAAATTCTGCAATGATATGTTTCAAAAAAGTTATCGCCTTGAGTTATACAGGACCGATTTTTTTCGCTCATGCTCTATCGCCAGTTTTCTAACAGGTTCCTTACAATTAATCTAAGTTTTGCGAAATTTCCCATAGTGTTGTAAACATTTTTGCTTTTGTGTTGAGTGTAAAAGTTTAACAGTTTACATTTGAATTCTAATATTAGCCCTGCGAGCGTCGACAATTTTTCTGTAATCGAATTCATTCAGATCGATATGATATACGACAACTATTTCTTACATTATAAAGATAACTAGGTATTTTATTTTGAAGAAGGAGAGGTGAAAAATGTGCTTTGCCCTCATTGGGCTTCGACCGGATCTTCCGACTCCTACCAGGGTGTGCTTTCTAATTACATTACGAAGACACGCGGGAAGGAGGGAGGAGATACCTTATATACGCCTTCTCTTAAAGGACGATTGGGGAAGACCAGACCTTGTCGCCAAATTCTGGGATGACAAATTTAAGTCCACCACATTTTTTTTATTAGGCCCCCATTTGTATAGACCATTAGGCAGTTTATTTCGCAGCAGAAGAAATGAAAAATGTGTAATGTCCTCGTCGGATTCGAACTCCGGATCTTGCAATTGCTACCCGAACGTGCTTTCCAGTTACACCACAAAGGCACGCAATAAGGAGGGAGATGGTATCTTACAACCTGCATGTAAGAAGCTTTGATATGTATGACACTCAGAAAATTCTTTCGACAATCCATTTTAAGATACATTCGTGCTTATTTACATGCTTCCACCAAAGATGTATATAACAATTTGTCTTTTCACTGTATTTCTAATTATGAAAAAAATCGATTTTAGTGTCTGACGGACTTGAACGTTTAGCACCGCAAAGTCATCAATTTATAATATTGTTACGTTATTTTCTTCCATCACGTTCGTACGGGGTTCGTAGATTTGGAGTGAATAACGACGACACTGGACGAAGTATCGAAACACACTTTATTTATCAATATTAATCAAGACAGCTCCAAAACACTTTTATAGTCGTCGAAGATCTACTATAAACACGGTGGAACAATCAGCGACACAGCCTTCCCACTAACAGGCAATAACGGTGGAGACAGCTACCTGCAAAGCAACCAACTCTGCTTTCCGGAGTACAGCTCTCGACTCTGCTTGGTCGTTCTCGGAACTCCACGTACTCTCGTGACTCTCCATGCTACAACTCGCGATGCACTCGACGACACAAGAGCACAGCTCCCGACTCTTCGGTTCAGTCGTTCCCGGAGCTCAACACGCTCTCTCGACGATGCACGAACCGCGATACACTAACAGACTCCTTCGATGCACTCGACGACCCACTCGGCACTCGCTGCCCGGCTGACTACTCGATCGACTCCGCAGGGATTGACTCGCTAGACGAGACACACTCACTGAGACACTAACTCTCCGCGTACCAGCAGGGTTTATATAGCTTTCGACTTGTGTTCGAGAACATTCTGGGCTAAACCGGTAAGAATTCGTTCCAGAAGGTTCTCCAACCGTCCATGGTATATCGCCAATTTTGTCGCTAAATGGGCGATTTCTCGATAAATGTGGCAACCCTAACCTCCTTGATATTTTATGGCAACCCTTAAACTGCTTTGCGGGGAAGCCATCTCACCGCGCCTGAAAATTTCGTAACAATATATTTAAGGTATTAAGATGCAATCTAAAGGATTAGATTACATTTAACTCTTAGCTTTTACAGTGACTAATCTCCGTAAAACTTTTAACCAAAAAAAAAAAAAAAAAAAAAAAAATCTCGATTTTTAGTTTATCAGATCTTAATGAGGAGAAACTACAATGTGCTTCATGCTTCACATGCATACAATCTAAGAAAAAGTTTTTTCTTACCATCTCGTTGAAACGTAATCGGTGTAGGGGGGTCTCGACCTTATCTCTCGAGCTAAGCCGAAGTCAGCGATTTTGATGAGGTCCGGTCCCATGCAGAGCACGTTCTCTGGCTTTAAATCTCGATGAAAGAAACCGTGCTTGTGCATGAATTGTAGTCCCTGAAGAATTTGGTACAGAATATTTTTGATTTCTGTTTCAGGAAATGGTCTATCCCTGTAAGTAATAGTTCAAATTATGTATAATTTTTAACAAGGCTTCCTGCGTTTCTTGCTTTTTAATATTATTTTCTTTCTTCTATGAACATTTAACTATTATAATCATGAATACACTGATTTAAGTTACAAAAATATGTACATAGCACTGTATCTGTAAACAGCACACTGCAGCAACTTAAAGATTTAGTGAAACTTCCTAAAGAGACAAACTTTGAAAGTGATGACTGCCTCTGAGAACATTATTAAATCACTAAATAATTAATGTCAGCGATTAATATTATATAAGGTAAGTAAAAAAGAATGATCTTTTTGAAAATGATGGTTATCAAAGAATTTCATTGGCATATGTTTACCTGTAATACATCAAATTTAACTTTAACTATCCTATTTCTTCTTGCCATTCCGTACAAAATCTTTTTGTCATGTGACATTCATCCAGTCTGTTGCACATTTCAGTCCACAAACATTGAAGCATATCCGATGTGAGTGATGCGATAGCATGTATAATGCAGTTTTGTATTCATCAAAATAGAATGGCAATAGTGGCACAAAATCAATATCTTTAATACATCCTCACAAAGGAAAGAGATGTGGCAAATATGAAGGCAGGTGTTATTTGCTGCTTTTAACTGCGATTAGATATGTGTGGCGCCCAAAACAGTTTTCACATGCGGCATCTGAAGCAAGTGACAAGAAACTTTGTTTAATTTGATGCACTAAAGTTTGATTTGATGAACCATAGGCAAATATGTTCCAATTTAATTGCATAATGTTTAACAGAATAATTCTTTTTCACTTATCCTACATGATAAAATAATACGCATCATAGATAGTGACGTTCTCTTAGTCGATCTCTTTTAGAGAAATTGAATGGAAGCCTAAATAACGTTATCAAAGAGATTTCATTATATTAGCAAAATATCTCCAAATTTGCAGAAAAATAAGGATATATAAAAACAGGTTAAGGATTAGGCGATAAAAAAATTTGCCAATTAGATACATTCAACTCTTTACACTGGTCTATTCTATTAGTAAAAAGTAAATATGGTTGAAAAACTCAGATTAACTAGAAACTGTTCAAATTTGTAGCACTAAGAAAATATTGATTTTATAATTTAGTAAGTACTTGCGATCTTTATTATTAATGTTGTTGTTGTTGAATTGATTATGATGAAACAGGAAAGATCTTTCTGCTTAAGGCAGGAATGCCTTCTTCGAAAACTCTATGAGGATGTAATTTTTGTCTCTTGATTAACGAAATGTCTCCAGCTTCATGTAATTTCCTAATACCTGATGTTCATATAATATTGGGAGTAGGCTAATGAAAGCAAAATAAACATAAAATCGTTAAATGTTACAGGGTATATACAAGAGATGGATAAAAAGTAACGGTAACACGTCAGTATTTTTTAAAAGACTTCTAAAACTTACTTCTTACTTTGTTAAAAGACTTACAAACTCTTAACTATCATCGCCTGCCACAATTACGATCTTCACCACATTTTTACTGGAAGGCACCGTACACCATCAGCAAGTCCACTTCCATTTCGTGACACGCAACAAACTTCCTAAAGCATGGATAATCGCCTCTCTGCTGTTGTAATAGATTCCTCGCTATGTTTCTTTAAATTTGTGAAAAGGATCCTAATAGCACGGACTCATATCATGGAATTCGTCACTAACAAATGTCTTCGCTTTCTTTTGAATGCTGAATGCATATGACGAGATCATGTGTCACATGACGAATCTCATCCTCCTCCATAATAGCTGGATGTAATGCAAACGCTATAGAGGATCTCCTGCAACGATAGCGATGATGGTACTGAAATTCTCGCCCGATATGAGTCAGGGTAAGTACGATCTCTTCCAAAATAAAATAACTACTGCCAAAGATCCATTACAACATTATAATAGATCAAGTACAATATAGAAGAAGTTATCCGTGCTTTAGGTGGGTTGCTGTGGAGCGTCACCAGAAGTAGATGAGCTAATGGTGATCGAAACCTTCTAGTAAGGTTGCAAGAAGGTGGTAGAAATGGCAGACGGTTATATCGAGGGACTGTAATTGTGTGTACTTATTTACAGTGAAACTTTTCAGAACTAGCAACGTGTTGCCTCTGTTTAAATTATTATATACTTTTATAGCACATAATATATTATATGCAATAAAAAAACTACATGCGATGAAAAGAATTCAAAGTTTTATTTTATGGCAGAGTTTCTTGATTGGAATTACATGAAATTATAAGACCTCCATGTCGTTTATAATGTAAATAAATAAACATATAAATAAATGAAAATTGTTTTCCAGTTTTACTACTAGCCCAGTGATAGTGCTGTCTGGCATAATCGATCTTATAACTTCATATAAAATTTCTAGGCTTAATTCAATAAGATTAAAAAAAAAAAAAAATAAGCATTCTCTGTCTAGACAGAGGTTCTGAACCAGGGGGAACTTCATAGTTTCAGGGGAAGGGAATACAATCAGCTTTTTAGTTATCTGTTAACCATTTAGTTTTAGTTTATGAACATAAAAAATTACTTTTGTTCAGGTTTGATATTTGTTAACATTTTCTACACCTTTTTCTCGTTTAATTTATAAAACACGTTGAAAAATCATATAAATCTAGCATATGCATACTTATTTTTCGAATTTTGGAAAGGATGGGGAAATGACCTTCTAGCAATGGTAAAAGGGCTGCACGGGGCAAAAAAGTTTGAGAACCCGTGGTCTAGGCCGTAAACATTTATTAAAAGTCATATGGAACTAATGGAAGCAGAAAGAGAGGAGAAAAAATGATCAGGTGGACCAAAATTGATAAATTGCCGAAAAGACTTTTTGGAACTTTAATGCTACATTGCAATCTATTTTTTTGGGGGGGAAGGGGTAAATTTTCAAAAATTCATCAGCATTTCTTTTTATGGCAAACTAAAAATTGTGAAAAGAACAAAGGTTGTTTCAGAAAGTTAAACATGCAAGTAACGTTCGCGTGTATTGTTATTGCTAACAAACGATTAGAAACTATTAACAGAAGAAATGAAGATAATATTATTTCGTCCAATAAAAGGGTATGAAAAGAGTACCTTCTCTTCATAAGCTGGTAGAGATTCTCCTTCATATATTCAAAAACAAAATACAAGGTATTGTCTTCTCTGATGACTTCTTTTAATTTCACCAAATTTGTATGACTTAGCTTCTGAAGAGACTGCAAGAAAAAATGCGAATTATAACTGAAGTACATAAAATTACAAAAATTTGAGGAATTAAACGCCAATTTAGTGTTTCAAGAAGTTAGAGGGCAGAGTTCAGGCAATATATCATGGCCAATATCTAAATTAAGAAATATTTGCACTGCAATATTTTTATGTTCGTACATAAAAACGTGAGATGACTAATTTTATGAAAACAATGTCCTATATTTTGAATTATCCAAAAAAATTCGTACCATGTAAAAAATTTTGCTTACAGCAACACAAATACAAATTTCCATTGTTAAACTGAAAATTATAGTTAAATGTGACTCCATCCAAGGAACATATATTATACCTCATAAAAAATTCAAACTCGCTAGTTACTGAGACCCAATCGAATTTGTAATCTGCTGATGGCTAAAGGAAGAAAAGAAGTTACAGAAAAAAATAAACATAAAAATAACGTGTTAGATAAAACAAACTTTACACCCTCAGACAAGGAGCAATTTTTTAAAATTATTTCAGGGCATTTTAAGCTCAAAATAAGTTTTGTTGTTATTAATTAGACTCTAGTTAAAATAACATCTGATTATTTTGAGGGAAACGTAATGAGACAACCTTTCGCAGAATTCTCTAGAAACATAATATGCTCTTCTGATATACGTGCACAAATGCATTTAGAAATTAATAATTAAACTAGAAAAAAAAACAATAAGGCCTCACTGCTTTTAATGTGCTTTTAATTAGCTGATGTGTCGGAAACTGTTGTTTAGTTAATAAAAGTGTTTTTTTAATTATTTCACATTTAGCAGCTAGTACCGTAAAATAGATGATGCGAATTACTCTTTTTCTAAATTTTAATTCAGAATAACTGAAAAGAGTTCATTGTAAATTTGCTGTAGAAAGCTAATATTCCCTATACTCAAGTAGTAAAAATTTGGGTAGAGAATGACAGAATGAGATCGGGAAAAAGAAACTAGAAATCGTGGATAGGAATATTATTAATAATTGGAAGGACGATTCCATACGACGAAACTGCACGATTTCGAGCAGATGTTGAAGCGATAGAGAGCATTCACGACAAGGAAGTCACGGGTTCGGAGTTTTTCTGAAGAATATATCTTTGCAACATGACTAAGAATTTCGGTATTGCCAGGGCTCAACACTGTATATTAAAGACTAAATAATGTAGTTAATAAAAATATCATATGAAGTAATATGAAATCTAAAACTAACTGATTGATCGTGCATCTTATCTCTTAATAAACGTGATATATGTAATTTTGTAATGATGATTAGATGAAAAGGATAAGCGAAAATATATCGAACCTGATCTACGCAATGAAGAAAGTTTGTACACCCTAAATGTTCTCAAGCTATATATATGTATATGTGATGTACCAGCTTTTGTCAGGAATAAATAGATTGCTGAAGAATCATAAATGTAGTCGTAGCTTAAATTATCAGACGATAAGTTTAAAAAACAGGATCCATTTATTATTATTCAGGAGAAATAGCAGTTATAAAAATCAGATCTCCGGAGTACACAAAAAAGAACTACTAATAACTTTTTGTATGAAGTTTACTGTATCGTTACATTAAAGAAAAGACCCCGATATTCCTTTGCGAGTCCTTTTATAGCCTCTGGAAAGGCGGAGCTTCCAAGAAATGACGTCAGCCTCGTCAGCCAATCCAGTTCGCTTTAAATATTTCCAGAACATTCTATAACTGTACGTGTAGAAAAGGCGGGAAAAACAACTTGACTACGGGGCTGTGGACTTAACTCCACGTACTTTCAAGTAAGAGAACGTCGCCATTAAAAATGAAAAGAACATACAGTTAAATTTTTAAGTGTATTCTTGACTATGGAATTTTATATATATATATTGTAAAGAAAGATATCGAAATGAAATTTATATTTATATTTGCATTAATTTGTATTTATATTTATCTCTGTGTGTTTGCAGTCCACAGACAGGAAAGTGTTTAGTGTCTGTGCCGTACCGAAGGGCCAGTGTTCGAATCTCTGAGAAGCCATGGATGTAAAATTGTCTGTCTATTCATAGGAGGTAATGATGCCCGCCTATTAGGTGCCTTTATAATAAAATGTCAATCGCTTCTGGCCTTTGTAGTGGCTAAAACCTAAAATGGATAGTGCCTGCCATTAAAAAACTATCCTCTTTTTTTATCCTTAAAAAGAATTTATACGGGAAAAATAAAATTGCCTGGGATTTCTCGAGAATATTACAGAAAGAATTTTGACACAAGAATTTACTCCATCTTCTGTTTTTCAGATGGAAATTAAAAAATACAGATAATCCATTTATGAATTAAAGAAAATTTATGACAAATGCAATTAAATCCTTTCCTGGTGAACACTTCTAAAAATAATCGTGATGACTTCAATACCTTGATAATTTCAACAATAATATTGAACATGCCCTTTCTAAGATGACCATCTGAGTAGAAGACAAACAGCATCTGAGTGTTTGTATTAGGATATACTGTATTAAAGTTTATTATTATAGTTGCATTTCAGTATTATTTCAGTATTCAGTTAAATTCAGTATAATTGCAGATGAGAAATGCAATATAGTTTGTTTTCTAACTTTTTTCCACGCAATCAAAATGAAGTCATTAAAATCAAAATGCATTATTAGCGTTTTTATCTGGTTTTAAAGAAAGTTCTCCGCCAAAAAACGTTCTTAATAAATTTAGAAAAAAAAAAAAAAATTCAAAGCAACGACTTTAGTGCGGATAGTAATCACCACCCAAATCCATGATTTTCCGCCAACATTTTGGTAGTTTATCGCAGTCTTCGGCCCAGAAACTTGGTGGCCGTGAGTCCAAAAACAGATCACCCTCATTCGGACATCCTGTGTAGAATAGAAAATAGCACCAGCAAGATGTAGCTGAAGGTGAGAAAAAAAAGGTAGAATTCCAAAGGAGCGATCTCGAGCTATATGGTAGGTATGGCAAAAGATCCCATTCGAGTCCGTACAGAATCCAGCCGATGAATTGCCGACACGTGTGGTCTTGCATTATCTTGAAGGAGCATTACCTTTTTGCGCCGGAACTCAGTTCGGCGTTTTTTCTTGATAACAGCGTCAACACGGACTAGCATCTTGCTGTACCTCTTACTGTAGAAGATAATCTTTGTGGATAATTAACACGGCAATCTCACTAGATACAAAGCATGAAATTTTTGTTAGTCAAAGTGTGCTTTGCGAACGCTGCCGACGGGCTCACCGGATGCAGACCAACCCCCTTTTCGGCCTGTGTGTTGGCTGTTGAAGTAAATCAACTTTTCATAACAACTGACGATCCTGTCCAGAATTTTGTCCTGGCATTGATATTCGAGCAGATTAGTTCAGGACCTGAACACGTGTGTTCTTATCTGCTTGACTCAGCTCATGCGGCATCCCGCGATTGAACTTATACGTCAAGTTTATACAATGCATAGTGCGGGTAATCGGCATGTCTCTAACGTCTAACTCCTTAGCAAGCTCTCAAGTGATTGCATACTGATCTTCTTTCGCAAGTTAGGCGGGGCTCATCAACATCAGTAGGCCGGCCATAGCGCTCTGGTGCTTGAATGTCATAGTCCTTGCTTTTGAACTTTCAGTACCGAACCTTCACAGTGGCATATGATACAACATTAGTATCTAAAGCTGTATACATGATTTGGTGACATTCTGTAGCTGCCGTTTTGCAACAGAACTGGAAGAAAGTGATGGTTCTAATCTGGCAGCGTGATAGTTCCATTTCAGACGCCTTGTACTTAACGATACTTTTTTACAAATTTCACAATACAGTGTTCTAAAGCAAGTCTGTTCCTTTCAAATGCTAAATATCGTTTGACAAAATATGATTAAATTAAATCAGCAAAGATATATATTTCTGTCAGTTTCTGGAAATATTTAAGTCTTTTGTATTGCATTTTGTCTTTATATATTGCTGTGATATTGTGAATTGTTTTATTCATTTGTTTCTTTGATTTTTTTTTTTCATTTAAGGTAATAGTTTATTGTTTTTCGTGTACAACTAAATTTGCGGACACAGGTTTTATAAATAAGTGTTTTTTTTTTTTTTTTTTTTTTTTTTTTTTAATTATAGAATTATAAGAGCTTCTAGTTCAGAATCCATCGACGTTTAAATTGTAAAAATAGCTCAACAAAAACGCAAAATATATGCAAAAACGTTCCGGACGAGCCTTGGCTACATTTTTTGTTACCAAAGTGACAACTTTCTGAAAATTTTTAGAAAATTAATTTTGGAAGCTCTACATGATTCCAGTTTTTCTCGAAACTCAATTGTGCTTTAGTATGTGTGGTTATGGCAAAGTCTTGAGGCATATCTGCCTAAGGGGAGGAATGCTTTCATGGAGGACTTTCTAAGGGAAAATGGCTCGTATACACCTTACACATGGAAAAAACTACGAAAACGCCCATGCAACCAAGCCGTTCGCGGGATTCGAACCTTGGACCGAACTAACAGTGTTCAGCGACTTAACCGAACTACCAGTGACCGCTCGGCCGCTGGTGGGCGCTGAATTGTGCTTTAGAGTTTACGGTGAATTACGATGAATTGTGCTTTAGAGAGTTCTTGGTACAAGAGAAATTACCATATTCCTCTTGTACCAAGAAGGATTTATCTAATGTCCGCGTTCTTCTTGAGCTGTTTAGAGCTATTTGTTTTGATGCTGTATGATTTTACTGAGTACAAATAATTTTGAATTGCTTCCTGCTCATCTACAGTGATTTTTCAAAGAGACAGCAACGAACCCCTAACTCGCAATAATATCACGTAGATACAGAACGATAAAACGGATTTTAAAAAGTATTAAGATTCATAATCAAAACTATATCCCTATTCCTCTGACTGAAACCAAGATGTTGCCTGAATATTGATTTGCAACAAATTTTAGATGATGTAAAAATAATTCTGATATGGAATATAATTTTCCTTATTCCTGAACAGTATTAAATTTCTGTGATGTTTTTCATAGACTAAT